CCTGCCCCCTCCGGGCCCCGTCCTGGCCCCCCCTGCGGGGATGCTGTTAGCACGTTAGCAGTGCCTGGATTGCCGGGGGGAATTTACTGCCCTGGCGTTCTGCCTGCTCGGCCTCGGCCCCGGCGCGGCCCGGCCTGACCTGCGGGTGCGCCTCGGCAGCCTCGGCCTCGGCCGTTATGCCACCGCCACCCCCTTACCCGCCCGGCCCGGCCCGGCCTCCGCTCCAACTGTATCCCCTGCCGGCCGGGCTCCCTCCCGAGCTCCCTCCCGTCCATCTCGGCGACCTCCACCAAGCCCTCACGTCCCGACTCTCCTCTACCTTGTCTCGCTGGGGGGCCCGGCCCTGCCCCCTTGCCTCGCTCCGGCCCCTGTTCCCGGCCCTGCTGTAGTCTGCGCATCGGGGTTCGTACGCACATGACATGGCGTCATTTATTTGTTTGCTTTATTTTGCGACGGGCAGGATCCGTTTTTTTTTTTCGCGGGACTTTAATTCTATTCTGAGTTAAAAGAAAAGTGGTCAAGAGATCGTGTGAATAATTAAGCCCTTGGGTCTCGGTTACCACTTGCTGCGGTGTGAGTTGACTTTCTCATAGAATGTCTTTTCTGTCGCCAACCACCTCAAGAGGAGAGGGCCGTGAAAAAGGGAAATATGCCCTGCTGCCCCCTCTAGATAGGACGTATAGTTTGTGTGCGGCCCCCTATTCCCTTTCTCCCTCCGCATGATGGCCGTCGTGGCCCCCATCCCCCGTGTACTTACTACCTCCGGCGCGCCGGGCCCCGGACCGCGCCGACCCGATTGCGGAAGGTTGAGCGAAGTGTAAGCCCGGCTAATCCCAGGTCGTACCCCTCCCCACCCCGCCCCGCCCCTTCCCGCCACGCCCCGCCCCGCCTCACGGCCGCGAGCGAGCTCACGGGCCGAGGCCGAGCTGCCAGAGTCTAATGGGCTGCTGCTCAACCTATCAGGCCTCTGCGCCGCCGCCGCCGTTGCCACGCTGGAGCCTCATGCGAGCAGACGACATCCTCCTCGGCTAGCCCGGCCTCCGTTATTGGCATGGAGCATCCTCGCTGCCGCTGCCTCCCACTTGATTCAATATGAGACGCCCTCCTTGTCGTTTCCTAACCGGGTGGGGCCCGCGAGCGCGCCTACTCCGCTATGCCGCTGTCTGTGTGTCTGGGTCTGGGCCCCACTCAGGAATGCACTTTATTGCCTCGCCCAGCCCCTCGGCGTGCTCGTTGTGCAAATAATATCAAACAATTAGAAACATGCACATCAAAGGAGGAAAAGTCGCGGCTGAGTTAGTTTTACTTCCCGCACCGTCATTTGTTGTGTTTTTATTTCTACCATGCTTTTGGTGAACTAATAAAGACCGACTGGAAACGCGATGGAGGCGGGTACGGCGGGTATATATGAGCGTGGGTCGTGGGTAGGGAAAGTCGCTTGGTCTGCGGGCGGAGCTCGGCGAGCCAGGCGAGCAGAGCGCCGCGCGGGGTAGGCAAAGGCCGCGCGGCGCGACGCAGCCCCGCCCGCCGGGCCTGCCTACCTCACGGGGGTTTCCGCCCGCTCGAGCTATGCGAGCTCGGCATACGCTCCGCCGGCCGCCAAACGCGCAGTCAAGGGAAATACCGGTTAGATTTCCCGCTCCCCCTTCTCTTAAATGATCGCACGCAACGCAATCCGTCTCAACAACGCACGTACAACATTCGCGTGTCTTTTAGCAGATGATGATATTTTGATGACATGATGACGACGATGACGATGATGATAACGATGATGATGACGATGATGATGAATGACGATGACGATGACGAAGATGACCATGATGTTCTTTCTGTCTCTGCAGCAACTGCTCGCCGTGCCCCGTGGTGCGGCCCACGTTCCTGTGCGGGGCCGACAACCGCACGTACTCGTCGCTGTGCCGCCTGGACTACCACAACTGCATCCACGCCACGGCCGTGGGCGTGGCCTGCAAGGGCTTCTGCCCCTGCAAAGGTGAGTCGGGATAGGGATAAATATAGTAGTTTGTGATGTAGAAAGAGACGCGGGTGGCGCGGCAAGTTTTTGGCTTTTGGGCCGGAGGGCAAGTTGGGGTCGTGTTTGCTTCGTAAATATTTGCTTTTTGCTAACGAGGAGAAAGAGGAGCAAGTAGGAAAGGGAGCGCGCTCTAGCCTCTAGCGCAGAGGTCAAGCCGGCCAGGGGGTGCCCATCCCAGGGGCCTCCAGGGGTTTCCAGGGGCTTCCAGGGACTTCCAGGGCGCCTCCAGGCGAGTGGGTGCTGGGGCCGCGCCTCAACTAGGCAGTCGCACGGAGCACCTCGCTTCATCTGCTGCTTAGACCCTCTTGGCTTATTATTAATTTCCCTTGAGGGGAAAAATGAAAGGTGCAGCTGCTTGCCTAGTAAAGAGAGAGAGAGAGAGAAAGAGACAGGCAGAGAGACGGAGGCTGGGACATCGAGCTCGACGGGTGTCAAGAATTAAGGTAGATGTAAAGGTCTTCTTTTCCTTCTCTTTTTTACCTCCGTTGTCGTTTTTAAAAAAGGACCCAGACGAGCAATGGACATTCCATTTAAATTGAGGAGAGTAGTAGGAGCATGGGTCTGAGTGGAAAAATGAGGAGTCTCGGCAACTTACCTAACCTTGGGACTCTTAGCTGGTAAGCCTAAGGTGAACGGACAAACACGCCTGGGTTGGGAAAAAAAATGATTTTTATGAACGACATTATCGATTCTGCATTCGATGGGCAGAGTTTGATTTAAGGTGGGAACTTTGGTCGCAGCCCAAACCTCTTTCGAGCGCGCTGAGGCAGGAAGCTGGGAATGCAAGTGAAATGCACGGTACAGGAGCAGCAGAGGCAGCCGCCAACAGCCTCTTGGCAAGCGGCTTTGCTTCTTACTTCCAGCTCCGTGCTTCGCTGCTTCGCCAGCGCACCGCGCCTTCAGAGAGACGTTATATACAAAGGCTGTGCAGTCTTCTCGCACACTCAGCCCCCGGGGCTGGGGCTGGGGGGTCAATCCGCTTAGAAAACCCGTCCATTACACTCACCGCCGGGCTTCTGATTGTGATTGCCGACTTGCACCCCAACCCCGATACAGCTCGGAAGGAATAAGCACGGAGGGCATTGTGAGAAACGCTGACCCAAATGTCATTCTCTGTTCTACTGGAAAAATTTTCCACAAAAATTGGTAGTTTTTA